GAATCTTGCAGGATACATCAGTCTAGGTTGAAGGTTGTTTTCTTTTAGGACTTAAAATACCTCACTCCAGGCTCTCCTTGACATGAGGTTTGTGTTGAAAAGTCCACTTTGATTCTGATGTGCTTTCGTTTGCATGCAATTTTTTTCTTTTCTCTTAGTATTTGTAGTATTTAGCTCTTTTGTTGGATTTCTGGGATCTTGATTTTTTGGGGGGGGTACTGGGGATAGAACTTGGGTTCTTGCACTTGCAAGGCAGTATGCTGAACTGCTGAGCTAAATCCCTGGCCCTGGGATCTTGATTTTTAAATGTCTAGGTGTTGATTTTCTTTGATCATGTCTAGTTGGAGTCCTATATGCCTCACTTATCTGTATGTCAAATTCTTCCTCTCTGTTTGGGAAGTTTTCTCTCATTAATTCTGTGAACAGCTTTTTTAGTTCATTTCCATTTTCTCTTGCTGCTTCGTGGATTCCTATTTTGTCTTATGTTATTCTTCTTTTCATCCTGTAGGAGTTGTTGGATTGACTTCTCATGATCCCTTACTGTTTTGTAGAGACCCCTCTTTTCAGGGTCATTGTCTGTGATCCTGTCTTCTATATCTGAGATTCTATCCTCTCATTCTTTTATTCTGTTGCATACACTTTCAAAAGAGTTTTTAATCTCCTGGATATCTGTTTGAATCTGTTTAATGGATTGCACTTCTTTCCTTTGTTTGGCATTCATTGTTTTCATTTCTTTCTTTTTCTGTGCCTTCATGGCTTTTGTCCTGGTCCTGAGCTCATCTATTTTTTTTTGTCAGTTTCTGTTTTAGAGTCTCCAACCACGAGTTTCATTTTGCTCACCATCTCTATGGTTATCTGGGAAATTATTTCTGCTTTGAATTTTTCTAGAGCCTGATCTATTTTGTTATTTCCTGTGCTATGAGTTTAGTGTGTCCTGGTGGTTCACTGTCAGACTTTTCATCCTCCTTTATCCTACTGTTTGCCATTGGTGAACTGGAAGTCTGTCTTTGTGTCTTGCTTAAGTGTTTTTTTATTTTTATTTTTGCTGTTGGGTTGTCATTGATTCAATATCTGGGATATTAAATCTTTCTCATATATTTGGATTTTAGCTTGTGATTCTCTAATGACTCGTAGCCATTCTCATTTTCATAATATCAGAGAAACCAACTCATCAAATTAATCCCTATCCTTTTTCCCAATTGATACAATCAGCAACACAATACTATCAATCACAACCTGCAAATTGACCACTTGTGGTAGTCATTAATCTATCACCTTTAAACCATGTGAATTAAATTAAAGACAAGAAGCAGCCCAATATATGTTTGCAGTGAACAAACTCTTCAACATAGCATATTTACCATTTAGGATGGGGGCCTAGACAGAGTTAGGAGGAGAAGAGTAGATACATAAAAGAACTGGAGAAGGTTTCAAGTGAAACCAGAGGATACAGAATGACCACACAATCTTTAGGAAACTGTTAAACTCAAAGGGATAGACAGAGTGCAGGTATAAGGACAATAATATATCCCCTTAACAGCAATAGGCACTCACTTTCGCTTGAAACTACTGACCCTTGAGTGAGGCACAATGATAGAAAAAGAAAACATTAAGAAAAAAGAAAAAATGATAAAAGAAGAAATCTGAGTCAGGGCAGGAGCAGGAACAGAAAGGGAGATGAGGTACAATATGGTGGAGCAAGAGACTGTGTTGGTGGAAGAGAACAGAAAAAGGAATTTACAGAGTGGAATTAGGAAAAGAAAGAAAAGGAAAAAAAATGACTTTGAAGGGCCCCTATCAGACTATATCTCTGCTGTCATAATATGCATCATGTGCAGCCATGTGCAGAACCAAATACCCCTATCTCAGCTAGTGGATGGCATAGTCCTGTGATGCAGATTGACCTCAGGCTGCAAGGCCCTACTTGTGTTCCCGCCCTCTGCAGGGTTGAATTACAGACAGTTCTACTATAGGTTTCCCCTGCCTTTTCTTTAAAGATGTTCAAATTTGGGAGCTCAGAAAATTACCCTTTATAAACAGCTTTATAAACAGTCCTTGGACCCTGCAGAGTGGGTCCAAGGACTGACACTATCAGGAGGTCTGAGAGTGGAGGGCTGGGGGAGGTGCTCAGAGGCACCTGAAGGGCTAACCTCCCAGTGCTGGATCAGCAATGGCAGTGCCTAGAGGGGAGGGTGAGGCTACCCAGTCCTGCTGACTGGTCCCAGGAAGGTGGGAGGGAGATCAGATGTCTGAGCCACATTTCCAAATCTCACCATCCTCCTGGTGCTGGATCAGCAATCAAAACTTGTATTTTAAAAATTTAATATAATAGGGAAGATTCTTTTATTAGAGGCACATATAATACCAGAAAAGAAAAGAGCTGAAATTTTGGAATTTATTATACTCACAGTTCCAGCAATTTATATCTTTTGCTTAGTTGTTTAATTACATTTATTGTTAGAGATGCATTTGAAAATGTATATTTTCAAATAATGTTGAAATATACATAATGTTGAAAATAAATATGCCCATTTCTGGTCATTGATGATCAAATCTGATCATTCCCACAGTAACAGTAGTGTAGGAATACATAATTTCCAAGTTTTCCATCTTTAATCAATTGCATAAAGTTTCTCATAATAGATGTAGTGTTTTCATAAGCCTAGGAAATTGCTTTTTATGGAAAATTTCTGTCACTGAAAAGGAAAATGGTTAAAAAAATCTTTGGATGGCTCTTTAAGAGTTGGTAAACACTTGCTCAGAGAGAGGGTTTTTCAATTTTAAACTTTATATATATTTATGTGCCAACTGTGGAACAAAGTTAACAAACAAGAGTCTTTGGTGACCCACTTTCAGAAATCACTAATGAATCATCTGTGTAATGAATTTGAGGAAAAAAAAAAAACAAACAAACCCAAATCTACCATAGTTAACAGTGAGAACATGGCCTTTAGAGACAGAAAACAGCACCAGACTGATAAGAAAATCTTTAAAAATCAAATTAAAATAAAACCTAGTACAACTTCTCTTAATTAATTCATAACATGTAAGGAAGCTAAGAAACTCAATTCTCCTTTTGTGTCTTATCAATTTGTTAGACAGTGAATAAATTATGTATTAAAATTCAAAAAATTTTCAGGGTTTCTATCTCAGAATGTTAACTTATAATGTAAACGATAAACTTCTCAAGTCAAATCCAGTAATGAAATTCAACAAACTTTTCCAGATTGAGCTGTAAGCATTCTATAAGGAAGAACAAATGTGAATTTCTTTTAGTGTGACAACATATCTGATATTTAAAATTGCATTAAAATGTAATAGCCCCAAATTTCTATAGCTTTAAATCTACTGCAAATTCCACTCAATTTTAAATTTGTTCTTTCATAAACTTGACTTTATAATTCCTCCTGACATAGAAATATAATAAAATTCATTGCTTGAAAATAAACAACCAAGAACAAGAATATTTGAAGTTCATTCAAAATATATATTTATATATTTATTATTAATCATATTTTAATTGACAAACAGTAATTGTTTACAATTATGGCATACAATGTAATGTTTTAATATATGTCTATGATATGGAATAACTAATTCCCTTTCATAAAAAAAAACTTATTTCAGAGCAGGGTTAACCTTTTTATGTTTATTATTTTAATACTTTTACATAAACATAAAAATTGTGCTTATTTATGGCTGACCATGTGATGTTTCAATACATGTATTCACTGTGCAATTTTCAAATAGGATAAAATATTTATATCTTCAAATATTTATAATTTGTCATACGAAAATGGATACATAATGAGGATGTACTCCTAAGTGAAATAAGAAAGTCACACATGTGTAAATAGGGAATAGTTTCTCTGGTGTGAATAAACTGTAATAGTACATAAGATCCTAGAGAGATAACTGACATTGTGAAATGGGAAGAAAAGGGCTAAAGGTGTAGGGAAAGTGGGAAGAGTAGGGGAAAGGTAAAAAGAGAAAAAAATATGAGAAAATGAAAAATGGAAATAAAGTATTTGTAAATGGGGAGGGGAGGAGAGAGCAAAGGGAGGGCAGGGATAAGGGGAAAAATGAGAACCAAGATCTGTCAGGTAAAGGTACAAGATCCCAATAATGAATGTAACTGTACTGTAACCTAAAATGTACCAATAAACTAAAACAATATTTATAATTTATAATGCAAAAATTCAAAATCCTTCTAATTTTTGAAATATACAGTGTATCATTGTTTTTCATTGTAATTCTGTTGTGCAACAGCACACCAGAACTTCTTAGTCCTATTAAACTCTAGCCCATTACCCACTGATGAACCTTTCCCTAGTCTTTTCTCCTCTCTCCTCTCAACTTCTGCAAGATCAACTCTTTTATGTTTCACAGACAAGAGATGTACTTGACTTTATGTGCCTCAATTATTTTCCTTAAAATTTGAGGTACCATCCATATTCTTGCAAATGATAGAATTTCCTTATTTTGTAGATGAGTAGTATTCCATGCTGTATCTATAAAACATTTCTGTACCTATTTATAAATTGATGGGCACTTACCATGTTTCCATTTGTACCTTTTATCTCTGATGGCAAAAGATTTGTTTCCTTTTTTTATTTTTTAGTGCTTGAAACAGTACTGGCCTAAATAAATCACTCAACACACATTTATTAACTGAACCAATTAATAAATAATTTGAAGATTTTTATGTTTAAAGAAATAGTGGCAATCATGCCTTGTTTTCTTTTGCATAGAAATGTAAAAAGTCCATTGGACACTTACTTCTACCTTATTTTATTGTATTTTACTTTTTTTTTGGTAGTCTTCATTCAAAAATAAAACCAGGATCTAAATTTTGAAAGCTATTGATATGCCAATGGAAAGATGTGATCTTAGAAAGGTTTGAAGAAAAGATGTCACTAGACTAGGGTAAGAGAGAATTTTGGAAAAATTTACCTAAGATGTTTGGGGTGTCCTTTGCATATGTTGAACTTTACATTCTTTTATTTTTTGTAAAATATAATTCTTTTGATTGAGTCCTTGAAGGCCTGTTTTACTTGCTTGTTTCTCAGTGTGTAAATGAAGGGGTTCAGCATAGGAGCGATGGAAGTAGTGAGGACTGTCACACCCTTGTTTATGGTCACCTCTTCCTTTGCAGAAGGTTTGATGTAGATGAAGATGCAGCTACCATAGGAGATAGAAACCACTATCATGTGGGATGAACAAGTAGAAAAGGCTTTCTTCTTTTGCTGGGCAGAAGGAAATCCTAAAATTGTCTTAATGATGTAAATGTAAGAAAGAACTACACATATGAGTGTCACAATGAGGGTCAGTACGGCACAGAATATAACTGTCTGTTCCATGACCCAGGTATTTGAACAAGAGATTTTCAAGAGGGGAGATGCATCACAGATATAGTGGTCAATGATATTAGAATCACAAAACTCGAGCTTTAGTCCTAGGCTGAGTGGAGGAATTATAATACACAGACCAGCTACCCAACAACAAAAGACGAATTTTCTGCAGATTGTGTGACTCATGATGGTCACATAATGTAGGGGCTTACAGATGGCCACATAGCGATCATAGGACATGGCAGCCAGAAGAAAAAATTCAGTTACACCAAAGAGGTCAATAAACAATACTTGACTGACACAGGCATTATAAGTAATCATCTTGTCATCTGTTGCTATGTTATACAAATATCTTGGAATACATGCGGAGGTGAATACTATCTCCAAGAAAGCAAAATTTTGTAGAAAATAGTACATGGCTGTCTTAAGGTGAGAGTCTACTAAGATGAGGCTGATGATAGTCAGATTCCCAGTCATACTCAGCATATAGGCGAGAAAGAGAAACACAAAAACCAGAACCTGAAGTTGTTGATCATCTGTCAGTCCTAATAAAATGAAAGTTGTTACTGTCTTATTCCTCATCGCTGATTTCTGATAGACCTGTGTATAATATTCAGAGACATTTTGTTATGGATTATTTTAACACTCTTAAGTCTATCAAGATTTTCTTCTTCATTAGGTTTTTTTAAAAGAAAAATTATTGTCCTTTGCACACTCTGTAAGGATTGTTTTAGATTCCTATGGGTCTGTCATTTCTAGGGAGCAAAGATACTCTGATACTCAAGAATTCTCTGATGTATTTCCTTAACATGTTCCTTCTTAAAGTGCTGATGTATGTCAGACAACTTGGGCTCACCATATACATCATAGTCACTTGAGGTCACTTTAGACCTATGATTCCTTTTTTTTTGTTATTATACATATATGATTGGTCTCCTGAACTGGCACTGCCTTCTTCTTAGGTTTCTCCTTCCCTAAATAATTACATACAATTCATGATGGTGGTGCATAATACTGAATATTTTAATGCACAATATGCTTATGCACAGTATTCATTTATACTTTTGTGAAATGCTGTAATAAGTAAACTTCAAAGGTACTTTGTTTCTCTTATCTGTTTGTTAGTCTTTTCTCCCCAATCCCTCCACAATCATGTTTTAATTTGGCTTATAGGCCAACCTTAAAGTAGAAATGAAACATGGAAAAATGACTATTTTGATTTCAAACAAAATAGAAATTATGACATGCTGAGGACATTTACAGAAGCAAACATCATTAATCATGTTTGGAAGGACCTCTGCATATGCTGTTAGAAACACTGGATCATCTCCTAGTTAAAAGGTCATTAGAGCCTCAGATTAAATTGCTCCTTAGACCATTGAACACATATATAAGAATATTTTAGTCTTCTAAAATCTTCTAGTGTCCCTCTTCACATTTAACATATTCATATTTCTGTATTTTCATCTGTACCTATGTTTAGAAATATCTTTCAGATGACTGATAAATTTATACTGTCATTTTGAAACATCTTTCTGATTCCCAAATACAAACTGATATGCCTATTGGAACATTTCACTCATATTTAAAGTATACTATGTCATGAGCATATATTCATTTTAAATGCAGTACATTTATTAAGAGGATTCCATATTATTAATATTTTAGTAAATGCTTCTCACAAGGAGAATGTGGCTTCCACTTTTCCATTGTATTCCTTAGGTTTCAACATGAGTTTTAAGCCTTCTGGAAGGTTTTCTGCAAGTCCAATGACTGGGATTTCTGTAATCTCTACCACAGTATTCCTTTAACAAACAATGCAGGCAACTATAGTGACACTCAGCAGAGAATGCTCACTGCTGGGGCCCATGCAATGTGTCACTTCACACAGTCCACACAATTTGCACAATTCCAGAAACATTTTTGATTTCCTACAGATGTCTCCAAATGGATTTATCCATTTCATATTTTCCAATTGGATGTCTATGAAGCTATTTTCCTTTCTCTTTGGACACAGAATTCAAAGTGTTTTGATATTAACTTGTTAATTTTGATCCTATTGTTAAATTATTTTTTTATGCTTGTTTTTTAGGAGATTTAATTTTCTGCTTTTTCTACCCTCACATATCATAGCAGAGAAACCACTTCCCTTTGTCAAATGCTCTGGTATAATTCTTTCATCCAATCTTTCTTCTAATGTCTTGATTAATGCAGAGATCACATCACTGAGTAAACTTAATCAGCCTGATTACCACTGGACATTAGTAAATGCTGTAATTATGACTATTTTTGTTTATTTCATTTTCAAAATATATGTTTGAAATGAAGATAGAGAACTCTAACAAGGTAACCCAACTTACAACAATTTTTCATGCTTTTGGGGACTGGGTGAGAAGTTTACATACACACACATATATGTCATTTTTTTGGATTTGAGGTTGACGATATAGCTAACATATTTCTGGTTAAGCATCAAATTTTAACATTCAAATGACAGTATATTCTTGTGCATAAATTTCTCTGAAAATGACATCATTATATTTAAAGACCATATTCTGTAAAGTAAAATGTGAATGCTTACCAAGCATAGAACTTATCACATATTAGTTATTTTAGGAGATAGTTAAAATATATTTTTTCTCTTTCAAAACACAACAAAATTGTTATCAGAAAGTAAATATAATTAAAATGGAAAATCTATTCAACTTACTATTAGGACTGTCAATGATAGTTTCTATTGGTCAAGGAAACACATGAAATCTTAAAATTTCTAAACTGGAAATGGCAATTAAGATGAAGATTTCCATATGAAATTTCTGATCACTTTTGCTCATGAATCCACTGTAAATTTATGACAACTCTAGAATGTGTAGACATCACAAAAATAGTCATTAAAAAAAAGTTACTTGGATTTCCTTGTTGCACTATTTTTACATCCTAAAAAAAGTGAAGAAAAAAAAAGGAAAAAAATGGTATAACATAAAAACTCCTCCAGTTCAGGAGAGTTCCAACTTTGACTTCTAATAGCAATGAGCATTTTAATATACCCAGCATAACATTTACTTTATTCTATAAAAAGCAACTAAATGAATAAACAGAGTCCCTAGTGACTTACAGTCTCTAGTGACCTACAGGCATTCAGTAATGAATCTGAGTAACCAAATTTGAGGTTAAAAAGGCATGTTAACTATATTCTTTGGATAGTATCTTGGAGGTAAGAAGTTGCAGTTGTGGATAAGATCAGTAGTACAACAGGAGAATCTAATTTTAAAATAAAGAACTAGTTTAGCTTCTCTTTATGCTCTCATCCTGTGACCTGAGATTAAACATATAGGAGGATCATATAGAAACCACATTCTTTAAATTGTTATATGAATTACTGTGTTTGGGAAACTTTAATGAGCCAACAAAAATAGTAAAACCTATATAAAATTACATAATCTGGGCTGCTTATATTACAGATATATTACTGCTTATATTACAGATTTTGGTCTAAAAATATACCAAATATTTTTACTCACTGTTTAAAAATAAACATTAATGACATGGCTTATATACTTGGGCATGTAATGTCAAATGTTTGTAACTTTTAAATTTAATATAATTTAATATTCACTTGATTATATGAATAATTTATTGCAATTAATTTATTTCTTCTAAAATTTATTTCACTGGACATACAGTAATTTACATATATATAGAATATGTGTGATTTTAAAAAAATTAAAAAATTTTCTCCATTCCACTGCCTTCCCTTCAACCTCTCCACCCTGCCCTATTTACAAAGACTTTGTTTCCATTTTTTCCTTTTCTCATATTTTTTTCCCTTCTTTCTTTTCCCCTCCCCCTCCCACATCCTCTCCCCCTTTCAACCTTTTCTTCTGTTTCACATTATCTATTGTACATTTTGATCCTTATTTACACTTTCAGTTTCTCATACCAGAGAGACTATTTGGTATTTACACATATGTGTCCTATTTATTTCACTTAAGAGTATGGCCTAAATGTACATTCATTTAGCTATATATGTCTCTAGTTTCTCATTCTTTATAGGTGAGTAGTACTCCATTTTAATTAAAAAAAACACATTTTCTCTTTCCAGCCTCCAATTGATGGGAAATTGGACTGTTTCCATGATTTAGCTATTACAAACTTTGCTGCTGTGAATATGAGTGCACATATATCACTGTTGTATGATTTCTTTAATTCTTTTGGGAAGCTACCAGGCAGGGGAATAGCTAGGTCAAATGGGGCCTCTAATCCTAGTTTTGTGAGGTATCTCCATACTGATTTCCATGGTGGTGTCATCAGTCTACACTCCCACCAAGAGTGGAAAAATGTTCCTTTTTCCTACAGCCCAGCCCATTTGTTATTGTTTGATTTCCTGATACCAGCCATTCTTTCTGGGGTGAGGTGGGATCTCAGTGTTATTTTTTTTCATTTGCATGTCTCAAAATGACAGTGATGTTGAAAAATTTTTTGTATGTTTATTTTCTATTTCTACATCTTTGAGAAAGTCTGTTCATTTCAAATGTCCTTTTTTAGATTGAGTCTTTAAATTTGGGTGGTCTTATTTTTTAACATTCTTTATATATTTTAGATAGTAGACCTTTGTCAGAACAACTGGTAAAATTTTTTTTCCCACATCATGGATTGTTCCCTAATGCTGTTTATGGCTTCTCTTGCTGTGCAGAAGCTTTTTAATAAGAAGAGATCCCATTTGTTGATTCTTTGAGCTACTTCACATGTGACTGAGTTTTTGTTCATGAAATCTTTTCCTATGCAAATGTCTTTAAGCATTCCACCTGACTTGTCTTCCAATCATTTTAGTGTTTCTGTTTTAATATTTAGATCTGTAATCCATGCTGATTTCAGTTCAGTGCATGGTGAAACATATAGGTCTAGTTTTAGTCTTCAGTAAGTTGAAACCCAAATTTTACAGCACCATTTATTAGAGAGGCTGTCTTTCCCCCAGTTAGGGTGTTTGGCTCCTTTGTCAAAGACCAGGTGGCTGAGTGTGTCTGGAGTTGTTTCTGCATCTTCTAATTATTTACACTGATCATAAGGTCTGTCTCCTTTCCAGTACAATGGTATTTTTTTATCACAGTAGCTTTGCAGTATTGTTGCAAGTTGGGGACTGTGATAACACCTACTTTGTCTTTATTGCCTAAAATTGTTTTTGCTATTCTAGGTCTCTTCTGTTCCAAATGGGTTTTTGGATTGATTTCTCAGGGCCTGTAAAGTATGCTTTTGGAATTTCAATTGGGATTGCGTTGGATCTATTTGGCAGTTTTGGAAGTGCCATTTTCATTATATTTGTTCTTCCTACCAAGGAGCAAGGGATGTTTTTCCATTTTCTGATATCCCCTTTGATCTCTTTTTGCAGAGTGCTATAGTTTTTAAAGTAGAGGCCTTTGATTTCTTTCATTAGGTTGATTCCCAGGTATGTCATTGTTTTGGATGACTATGAATGGAGTTGTTTGTCTATTTCCTCTTTCAGTGAGTTTTTTGTTTGCGTACAGAGAGACTATTGATTTTTGTATGTTGACCTTGTATCCTGCTATTCTACTGAATTTGGTTAT